TCTTTCTCGCTGAGTGAAACCAGGAGCCATTCAGGGTGGAGTAAAGGCAAGAAATGATCTGACTGACAGTTTGAAGAAACACTCTGAGTTTAGAATAGTCTGCAAAGAGGCCAGGGAAGAATGAGACCATATATATAGGAATAGCATGTATGTCTCCCTCATGGGCTACAAGCAGTGTTTGTCAAGTTAGCATATGAATAAATACACTATGGTGGCTGAAGGATAAAATACACACACATACTCATGGGCATGAAGTAATGGGTGGTTATGTTTTCACATCTTTGGGAACCAGACGCAGTATATTAGCATTACATCTTATGTTTATGTGTCATATGAATATGTTTGTGTTTAGATCTAAATACATACACATAAACATTTACTGCCTGTCTTCTGTGTGGAAAGCACTTTTAATTTTGACAAACGACTTCACTTAATTTATGCTACATGTATAAATGTATGCATAATATAGTAGTGACTAATGCCAAGCTCTATATAAAAGGGCTACATTCATTTCCTAAAAAAAAAAACCCATTCTAATGTTGTCTAGCTGAGGTTGATTTTTAAAAATTTTGAACTTTATGGAAGAAATCTGTCCTTTTAAAAATGATGGCCATAGTTCCAGTTCCCACTTAGGTATGTTAGTTTGAAAAGATGGGAAACATTTCCACAGCCACAGGCTCTTCCTCAATCCCAAGAACATGTTGTAAGGACTGTGTTTGGGCAGAAGAAAGAGTGACGCTGACTGGCCCTATGCAAATGCCCCGGGAGAGGAGGTCAGGACAGGGGCGCATTGGCAGTAGATACACATATGAAAGGCAGCAGATATTTAAAATGTACTATTTTTAAATACGTCCCTATAGTTTCAATAATCAACATCCAGGTTGGACAATTTTAAGGTTTGAAGAAATTGTTTGACTCAGCTAGTCATTCCCAAATGTTTGTCAAGCACATGTATGTGTGTGTGGCACTGATGATACAAAGTGAGCAGGACAACAGAAGTGCCTGCCCAGTCAATTGCTCTCATTCTCATCCGAGGTAATGTCACCCTCAAAGAGAGAAAATTTGCTTTGGGGCAAGATAAAAACGTACTCTTTTAATGTGTACAACATATACATATCTTATAAAATATGCATATTATATGAAATATATATATATGTATGTACTCTATATGTATATATACACACAGTACATAAACAGACGCACATAATATCTGTGATAGAATGGCAAAAACAAACAAAAAAGATTGAAAAACATTTGTCTACTGGGAAGCCAATGATTGGAGTGAAATATGGTAATTACGATAGGGAAAATACAGGATGTTATGGGAACGCCGGACTAGGCATGGAGGAGGTCAGGAAAGGCTTCCTGGGAGAAGCCACATCTCAGCAGAGGTGTGAGGGGTGACCACTAGGAATTGCTCAGGCAAATGGGTATGGAACGTGTTACTAGAATCAAGATAGAGGCAGAGCTTAGGCAAAAGACCTGGGCAATCACTAACATAGACTTGAATTGAAACAAATCTAAACAAATTTCTAAATTAGCTAGCTTGGCTAATTTAGCTAATTAATTCATGATATCAGATAGGCCACAGAGAAAATACTGCAAACCGAAAGCTGTATCTGTGGTCACATTTTGGACCTCAAGCCTGTCCCCGCTTACATCATGGCCTTTTGTTCCATTGTCGGCCATCATCACAGTGAGGCCCTCACTACCTCTTGGTAGAGAAGTCTGACAGCCCTCTTACTTGTCTCCCTCTGGTCACCCTGTAGCAGCAGAGCCACATAGTGATCTTAGGATGTAATGTGCTAAATCGAGCTATTGGGAGACGCCCTGTTGTGTCATTCCTCTGCTCTCAAATCTTTGTGTGAATCCAAATCAATGCCTTAGCCCTCGGGTTAAGCATTTGTGCAGTCAGACTCTAAACCAGGGGTGGGCAAACTTTTTGACTCGAGGGCCACAATGGGTTCTTAAACTGGACTGGAGGGCCGGAACAAAAGCATGCATGGAGTGTTTGTGTGAACTAATATAAATTCAAAGTAAACATCATTACATAAAAGGGTACGGTTTTTTTTTTTTTTTTTTTAGTTTTATTCATTTCAAACGGGCCAGATCCAGCCCACGGGCCGTAGTTTGCCCACAGCTGCTCTAAACCGCTGATCTAAGGCAGTTCAAGACCCTTTAAGACCCAGGGGTGGGGAATGTCTGTATAAGGCCCACAAAATCATTTGTTTAGGCCCTGCCAAGGCCTGAGGGGTGAGTTAGTTAAATGTCTGACCAAATAGATCAGGCCAGTTTGTAAGTTGATAATTTTGTATGGCCCGTGGATGATGTTCTAAATATCCAAACGGCTCTTGGCAGAAAAAAGGTCCCCCATCCTTGCAAGTCAAGTTCCTAAACTTTTAGGGGTAGGCGAGGGCTTTCACTCATGAAGCTTTCTCAAGGAGCAAAGGTAATAGAAAGTAAATGGACACAAATAAATCTAATAATTTCAGTTAGGGATAAGTGTTAAAAAGGTAATAGGTTAAAGCAATTTTAGATAAGGGGGTGGGGACACTAGGCTAAGAAAGTGGTATCTGAGCTGAGACCTGAATGTTAACCAGCCATGTGACTGAGAGAGGACAGCCCCAGACATAGGAAGCAGCAAGTGGGAAGGCCCGGGTGGAAATGAAAGTGAAAAGAGGGAAAACTGAGAGTGGGTACACACCTAAAAGGCTATACTGTTCTTAACACACACTTTTCAGTGTCAGCAGCTTAATAGACTCTGCCACCCTACACCTGCTTCCCAGGAACCCCAGGACCTCCCCAAAACTAGTAAGTAAAGTGTTAATGTCTCTAAGGATCCTGCACTTCTGTGCAAGTGGCTATTTTCAGTTTGAATGAGCAGAACCCATGTCGTATCATTTGTTACATAATTTTAATATCAGCTCCACACTAACCATAGTATACATGATATTGTCATACAACTTCAAGGGTGAACCTGGCCATCCTAAAATCCATCTCTAAGAATCCTAGGTTTATCTGCCAAAGAGGCATCAGCGCACAGGTTTCTGGGTTAGCATCCCAGCTCTGACACTTACCTAGCTATGGGACCGTGGGCAAGTTACCTAAAATTTCCGTGCCTCAGTTTCCTATAAAATGAGAACAGTGAAAATGGCTCCTAGGATTTTTGTGAGAATTTAATTATATTGTGTTTTAAAGCTCTTGGAAGATTTTTAACTCATTGAAAATATTATGGTGGTTATTATATGGCTTATGAATTCCTGCTAAGCTATGCCTACCATCCCCACTCAAATTCATTTCACTTCCTCATCCTAGCATACTTTTTTCTCCATTTCCAAAGGCCAAATTTCTACGAACTTACATGGTTCAGATAAAATTCCACAATCACCAAGAAGGCCAGTTCCCTCTTCTGAGCAACTGTTACTGCTGCTGTTTATGCCGTAGCTTCATCCGTTACTCCCTTACAAGGTGATTTGTAGGGTTGTGCAAACCCACTAGATTGTAAATCGCTTACAGCAGTGCTGTCCCATAGAAATATCGCTTGAGACGCATAAGTAATTTTATTTATTTTATTTTAGTCACATACATTTTTAAAAAAACAGATGAGATTAATTTCATAATGTATTTTATTTAATCTCATAACCAAAGTATTACAGTATTAGGTAACTAACATCAATTATTAATGAAATATTTTACATTTCTTTGTACTGAGCCTTTGAAATCCAGTATGTGTTGCACACATACAGCACATCTCAATGCAGATGAGCCATATTTCAAGTGCTCCATATGCATGTGTGGATAGTGGCTACCACTCAGGACAAGGCAGGTTTAGGGTATGAAGTACCCTCTCTAGCTCTGTGTTTGTCATCCTGTCTAACATGACACATTCCCTATTTCCAAAGTTCCGTGAATATTTGTCAAAGTAATTACTTTACTGATTTATTTAACATCATTACAAAATCTAACCCGATAGAAAATATATTCCTGCTAGTCATAACACAAAAAAGAAAAAAAAACATGGAAAAATAATCTTGGCATCCTTAAAGAATAAGTTTGTTCTTCCTCTAGAGTGATAAAACAACTTTTTCAGTTATTTTCTCATTAATAATATTGTTTAGAAGTACTAAGCCATGGATCACTAAAAGAAATAGTATGTATGGTAATAAAATTTGTTTGTTGTTTGATACATTTGGAGAAACAATTCAATCTTACTTTCCTGATAAGAGTAAGAATCCTATATAATAAAAGGCTAGATGTAAATCTACTGAACAACCAGTTGCTATGATGCGCACTTTCCAACAGGGGGCAGATGCTCAATGCAAGAGCTGCCCCCTGGTGATCAGTGCACTCCCCTGCTCAGCCAGAAACCGGGCTCATCGCTGCAGAGCACAGTGGCAATGGCAGGAGCCTCTCCTGCCTCCATGGCAGCGCTAAGGATGACTGACTGATGTCTTAGGCCCATGGGGAGCAGGCCTAAGCCATCAGTCAGACATCCCTGAGGGCTCCAGACTGTGAGAGGGAGTAGGCCAGGCTGAATTTTTTGCACCAGGCCTCTAGTTTTAAATAAGAGTAATTAACTCTTAAAACAAATGTGCAGGATTTGGTAAATCTTGGTGAAAATATTTTGATGTCATTTCCATGCTCACCACCTGATTTTTCCTCAAAGGGTTGTGGTCCAAAATATATCCAATGTTTTCATAATGATCTCCCAGTCACTCAAATGCAGTCACAGACACTGTATGGCATGATTTCCATAGTCATTAACTACATCCTGTCAGGATCAACTCAACTTGAATTGTTCCTGTTAGAAAGTTTATATGAAAGTGGGAACCCTGGTATGCATTCTACACTCTAAAATTGTTGCTACCCACTTCTTCCTTATCAACTTTATTGTTACCTTTCCTTTTAACTACAACTATCCGTGTGCAAAAGTTTTGATTGTGCTAGAGCATTGCAAATAATTAATGAAATATGGTAATTAGGGAAGTAAAAGAACTCACCTTTGGTAGTCTCAATGGTAATTTACACACTGGCAACTGATAATGGTTTTCATTAAGTACGAGAGATTGGTCCAAATTGTGGATTGTCTTTTGTTTCGGTAGTTTGTAAACTACAACAGTGCCCTTATAATGTGAGCAGCTGTAGTTGCCAAATTCATCCACCTCTTTGATTTGGAGTTCCAGCCTGGGTTTTCTTTGTAAATGAAAAATGAGCTTGTAGTCTTTTCCATAATCCTTCCCATTGCCTACATAGAAGTAACATGCACTTGTTATTAGAAAGATATACCACTTTGTCTTAATTTTTTAAAATCCAAATAGTCATATAATTCTTTAATGCACTTAAAGCATTTTTGGTGTCATTGCCTCTTGTCAAAATATACCCTGACAAAGCAGCAGCAATAGACCCTGAGACTGTGTAAATTACCCAAAAGATTTCTTATCTGTAATTGGACCAAGGAATCTCCACCTGCTTCTAGGTCTAATAATCTTCCATTTTCTATTCCATTTTGCTATACCAAGAAACTGTTAGAAATAGTCAGCTCACTCTGTGTTTAAAAAATTACTTTCACCTTTCAAGAATTGTTATTTTTTTTCCTTTCCCCTTTCTATATCATAGCGCACACTATCATGACCTCGTAGTGACACTCCAGATCCGGTGCCACTTAGCAACCTGTGGCTTTTTAAATTAATGTTACAATTAATTAAAGTTAAAATGCAATTCCTTAGTCACTCTAACCACATTTCAAATGTTCACTAGCCAAAATTGTCCAGTAGCTACATTACTGGGGACTGCAGAGGTAAAATATTCCCACCATTGCAGAAATAGGCAGTGCTGTTGGCCTGACAAAGCAGCAGCAATAGACCCTGAGACTGTGTAAATTACCCAAAAGATTTCTTATCTGTAATTGGACCAAGGAATCTCCACCTGCTTCTAGGTCTGGGCACTGCAGAGGTAAAATATTTTCCACCATCGCAGAAATAGGCAGTGCTGTTCA